AATAATTATAATTTCAATTATATTACATTAGAAGATACATTAGCAGCGGCTATGGTCACTAGTTTAACATGGTGTGGAAAAGATAATGATGCTGAATGGTTTCATTATGTCAGTTGTCCAAATGATTGTAAAGATAATATTGGGGCTGATGATCCTTTTTGGGGAATAGCATCAAAAACGGTAAGATAATATATAAAAAGAAGAAACATTTAAATTATTCTTCATTAATATTAATTTTTAGTTTGCCCAAAAATTTGTTGGTGAAATTTATCTTGTATTAAATGGAAGTCAAAGTAATGATCGACCATCATTTCGTAACAATTCCTTTTTTGCAAGATATGAATTACCAAATCTTCAACGAAAAGGTCCATATCGAGTGACAAAACTAAATGTTTTACGTTTACATTCACCTGATCAAAAAGTTGTGTAAGTTAAACAAAACATGAATTCATTGATAGTTTTTCTTTTGCTTGTTTTTTAGTGAAAAATGTGGTGAAAATAGTTTAATTACTTTACATACTATTGTTCGAAGTTATCAAATTGAATATCTATGTAAAGATGATCCAGAAGAATTAATTTTAATCATGTGTAGTTATGAATGGGAAGCACGTGAATGTCAATTAGAACGACAAGTTTTAAGAAAAGAATGGAATCAAAAACTTCTTAGAAAATCAAATAGTAGTTATCATTCCGTTTCATTTTTATTTTTAATTTTTCTTTTACTTATTTTACCTAAAAAATAAATCCTTCCGATTTATTTTAATCTATATATATAATGTTCAGTGTCTGTCTGTGTGCTTGTCTGTCTGTCTGTCTGTGCCGGGTTAAAGGTCAAGGGTCAAAGGTCAAAGGTTAAAGGTCACATAAGGCTATAAGGGGAGATCTCCAGGGACTATGTATGGCGTACTTATAGGTCCTCAAGGACTCTCCTATGGGGGACCCATAGATCCTCAAGGGCTATTATGTGGGGGTACCCATAGGTCCCCAAGGGCTATCCTATGGGGGTGCCCATAGGTCGTCAAGGGCTATCCTAGGGCGGTACCCATAGGTCCTCAAGGGCCATCCTAGGGCGATACCCATAGGTCCTCAAGGGCTATCCTATGGGGGTGCCTATCGGTCCTCAAGGGCTATCCTATGGGGGTACCCATGGGTTCTCAAGGGTTATTATGTGGGGGTACCCATAG